TGGGGGTGCAGGCAATGCAGGCAGGGAGGTGGGCAAGCAGGTACCAGCAGGTGGCTGCTGTGCCTCAGTGATGGGCTGTTCCTGCCAGAGAGAGTCCCCAAAGCAGCCACCCCACACACCCAGAGAGCTGCTTTCCATGTGGATCTCCAAACATCAGTGCCCCTGTCAAGGAGATAGGCAGGGAGGTGTCTTTGCTTGAGATTCGCTGACTGGGACCTGGCATATCCACCTCTCTGCTTCATTTTTTCTTTTCCCCTTTGCAAGGAGGGGCTGAAAGAGGAGAAGAAAGTTTGTATACCTAGGACATGTACTAGTGACAGGTCTTAACTTGATTCTGTGTCCTGAGTTCCTCATCCTGGCTGTGGCAGGGGGTGCTGTGGTGGGCGACGGAGGGGCAGGCATGCTCCACAGCCACACTCTCAGCCTGGGGATGAAATCAAACCCATTCCCTTTAGAAGCACAGAGTTAGTCAAGAGAAGTTTATTTTAATGTTTACAATACGTTTTGTAATCAGAAAAGCTGTTCCTATCCAGTGCTTCACTGCTCTCCCTACACCGGGGCTGGTGGCACTGAAAAAGTTTGCAAACACAACCTTTGCCATTTGGAGATGAGCGAGAGTCACCGTTCACCCCGCCTTCAGCAGTGTGCCGTAATATTTCTGTTGACTTCAGCCTCTCTTGCTGCACTGAGAAACGTAACAGAGGTTGCCAGAGAGAGGATTTTTGTGTGGTTTGTTGTTGGGCTCATTTTTCTTCTCTTGGCCAAGACTCAAGAATTTCCTGAGTAACTTTTCAGAGAATCTGCTCCAGCAACTCAACAACAATATGCTCTGTTTGCTTTTTATAACATAAGTAAATGTGAAGCTCTGCCAAGGGGGAAGGGGGGAGGAAGCCGGGGAAAAGCGAAGTGATGGTGTGAGGAATGCCTTTTGGCAGAAGGGCCTGAGTGAAAAAAACGGGTGCGTGGACAAAGGACCACTGAGAGCCGCTGGGACAACCAGCAAGTCCATCCCAGGGAGGCTCAGCATCTCCACTTTTACAGGCACGCTGAGAAGGACAAGCTCTGGATTCCTTTCAAACCTTCCCGTTAAGGTAAAACTTAAACATTCTTCTTAAAACAAATGAAAATTGTTATTTAAAAGGTATGAAAACACCCAGTAATTAATAACACTGTTAATAATGCTGGGTGAGAATATGCATAGGTGGGACGCTAGGCATCTTTCTAACAGGCTGAGTTAAGCTTGTGATTAAGCTAAGTGACTATTTAAAGGCGATAGAGTTTTTTTAACCTTACTTTGATATGAAATAACACATTGATTGAGCTCGGTTTACGGCAGAGGTGTATTTCCAGTGTTTCTCGATGCTAAGAGGATGAGGTAGGCTAGGCTCAGCTCAGTATTTTAAGTAATCCAGCACACGTGAGGAGCAGATTTCTTTCC